ATGATCATGTTTATGATTGTTCTTTTAAATTCTGTGTCCTGAGTTATCTCTAGGGAGGTCTCCTTGTAGAATTCTTCTACAGGACTGGTGGAGTTTGGTGGGAGCATGTTGTTTTGGTTTTCCATATTATTTTTCTGTTGTGATTTTGGCATGTGGATTTCTTTTGCTCTTTGTGATTTTGGTATGAAACTCAAGTCTTCTTTTGTTGAATTGAAGTTTGCTTCTGTTTGTATTATTTGTGTACCTTGGTTGTTTTCTTATTGAGTATGTAAAGCTGGTTGGTCTAGGTTTTAGGTTCTCTCAGATTTTACTTTGGAGGGAACTGATGGCTTCAGATCAGCTACTCAGGAATTCCCACAGAGGCCCAAGTCGGGCTCCAGTCAGGTACACACTCGGGTTTCCTTCTAAGGTTTAGACCCCTACTAGTGGCACAATTTGGGAAGTTTGCTAAGAGGAGGCCTGATTTTGGCACTTTCAGGCAGTCTGCTAAGGTCTCAGTCCCTACTGTAGGGTAGAGAGGTCTGCCCCTGGCCAATTGGGAGAGGCCTCAGGTAATCCCAATTAGGGGGTTGGGCACTGGGCACTGCTTGATTTGGGAAAGCTGACCACCACATGGAGTTCAGATCCAGGCATTCTCAGGTGGTCTGCTGAGTTCTCAGCCTTTACACCAGGCAGAGGCCAGATCCAGGTGCTCTCAGGCCATCTGAGGTCTCAGCCCCTACCTTACTATAGGGCAGAGGTCTGCCCCTAGGAACATGGGAGGGGCCTCATGTAAATCCCAATTAGGTGGTTTTGTTCGGTGCAATTTGGGGAAGGACACCACCACTCAGAGGCTGGATCCAGGTGTTCTCAGGTGGTCTGCTGAGGTCTCAGCCCCTACCCTACTGTAGGGCAGAGAGGTCTACACCTGGGAACTTGAGAGGGACTTCAAGTAATCCCAATTGGGGGTTGGATACAGTATGATTTGGGGACGCTCACCACCTTTCAGAAGCCAGATCCAGGCACTCTCGGACAGTCTGCTGAGGTCTCAGCCCCTACCTACTGTAGGGCAGAGAGGTCTACCCCTGGTGAAGTGGGAAGGCCCACACATAATCTCAATTAGGGAGTTAGGCACAGGCGCAATTTGGGAATGGTCACCACCTTGTGGAGGCCAGATCCAGGCACTCTCAGGTGGTATGATAGGGTACAAGCAGTCTAACAATGGCTGCATCACACTGGAAAAGCTGAGAATCCAGTAGTTGCTCAGTCCATGAATAAAGGGACTGTGAAATAGTGTTCCTATGCCTTTCAAAATATGCTTGGTAAATTTAGCTGAACCTTGAACACGTATGTCTAGAAAGCCTTGCCTCATGAGAAAGTTTATGCAAGAACGCTTGTGGGGAGTTACTCTGGAATGCCGGTACTCCTCTAGTTTTTCAGGAGACACCTTTATCTCTCAAGGCATATTACGGTGGTACTGTTATCTTGGTCATTATATTTTACTAAGTTGCTGTATTCTAGCCTCTTTATTATTATTCACTGTACATTTGACTGTAGCTCTAATGAGTATAAAAACAGAGTTGCCTGTGTTTTTGGCACCAATGTGTGGATGAAGAAATAAGAATAAAGAAATAAAACCGCAGAAGTCCCCTGGTCTTTTTTCAGTTCCGGAATGATCCATTCAGGTCCCGTGGCTGCCCCCCTGCCCCGGCAGCCACATGAGACTGGATGTCTCAGAAATCCCTATCTGGCGCTGAAGGCCTGGTGGATTTCTGGAGGTTCGCTAGTCTTCAGTCTATGTTGGAGTCCGAAGAAACAGCAAAAAGCCGCTTTATCTCCTCTTTTACCATTCATATGTCTTTTTTCCTGTACTCTGTCCTTCTTCATCACCTAATGTTACCCTTTTTGGTGTCCTTTCTAAATTTTATACTATATCCACACTTACAGCTGTTTACATAAACATGTACACATTGTAGGCTAGGATCTGCATATGAGGGAGAACAGGGGGTTTTGTTTTTTTCTAAGATTTAGTGACCTCACTTAATATTATACATTCTAAGTCCATCTATTTTCCTGCAAGTTTCATGATTTCATTTTTCTTTAGAGTTGAATGATACTTCATTTTACAAGTGTACCAGATTATCACTATCCATTCATCTGCTGGTGAACAACTAGTTGGTTCCATTTCCTTGTGTCAGTGACTAAAGCAGCAGTAAACATGGTGCACAAACATCTCTATGGTAAGGTATGGAGTTATCTGGGTACACGCCCAGGAGTGAGAGAGTCGGGTCACAGGGAACCCTACTCTAAATGTTTTAGGATAGCTCTTCAAACTGATTTTCATAAGGCCGTACTAATTTGCACTCCCACCAGCAGGGAGTAAGGGTCCTCGTTCCCCGTCTTCTCTAACGTTTGTTGTCAGACTTCTTCACAATAGCTATTCTGACTTAAATGAGACAGATCTCAAAGTAGTTTTTAATTTGCATTTCCCTGATGACTGGGGGTGTTGGAAACTTTTTAA